CAGGAGATCGCTATGGAAAGCGATAAGACATGGTACTTGCCACATTTTGGATTTGAGAACCCCAACAAGCCGGGGAAGGTACTATTGGTATTTGATGCAGCGGCACGAGTTGGAGAAGCTATAAGCCCTTGGCATCTATTCTTTTCCATTTCGGGAAAGGTGCTATCGGAGTCTGCAGTGACATCAATTAGATGTTTCACCAGGTGCTGATCCGACCCGAAGACCGATGTGCGCAACGGTTTCTGTGGAGTGATGGGAATGATCAACGGGACCCCGACGTTTATGAGATGTGCGTCATGACGCGTGGAGCTGCATGCTCACTGAGCGCGGCGCATCATGTGAAGACTGAGAATGCCAAGCGATTCCTGGATTCTGATCCCCGAGTAGTCAAGGCCATTGTGGACTTACACTACGTGGACGACTATGTGAACAGCTTCGCCACAGAGAGCGAAGCTATCGAAGTATGTACCAGATTGAAGGAGATACATGATTTGAGCTGTCCAAGTTCTCGTCTAGTTCGCCCACAGTAGAAAGGATGCTCGGACTCAGCGATCACGCCCAGAGTATTGGATGTGGTGAGGCCGAGCGGAAGATTTTGGGAATGCGTTGGCAGCCAGCTACGGACGACTTCAGGTTCCGAGTGATATACCATAAAGTTGCCCCCATTTGTGTCCGATGGGAAGAGAATGGCCACAAAAATGGAATTCTTGGGTATGGTCATGTCGTCGTTTGACCCCTTGGCATTTCTGTGTTGCCTGATGATAACATCGAAGTTATTGTTGCGAGAGGTCTGGAGAAGGAAGATCCCATGGGATGAGCCACTACCGGCGGAGATACACAACGACTTTATGGATTGGCGTAAGGAAATGGACAAAGTGGAACAGTGCAAGTGAGGTTCGTGTGCGCAAAGACAAAACAAGCGTCGATGCTACAGAGTAGCCGAGATTCTGGGGTCGACTAAGGTGGGCCAATGGAGATGGCTACCGTCCGCCGACAACGTGGCGGATAATGCGACTCGGTCGCAATCCAGCGTCGACCTAAGTGAGGAGTCGCGCTGGTTGAGAGGAACGGCATTTCTGAGGAGACCAGCGGGCAACTGGCCAGGACCTGCGCCCGCCGACGATGCGGATGGAAGAGATGAAGAGGAGATGCCGAGTGAGAGGGCAAGTGACACGTTTATATCGTTTCAGTGATTCCCAAGCTACAGGCGATAGTTAAGGACTACGGCCTGGTTCCTAAGGTTCACGCGTCGATACCGCGGACACCGAGATCAGCTTGAGAACTATGGCCTCACTGTAGCTGAGTGTGAGGCAGCTGAGAATTTATTGGTCCTTAAAGCACATCATTAGGCGTTTTCCGACGAGAGGCGGGCCGCAGAGAATGATCTGAACGTTGCTAAAGGAAGGGCCTCGACTACTTTGGACCACTGCTAGTGACCGTAGCTCGGCACCAGGAGAAGCGGTGGGTGGCCTTGTTTAAGTACCTGACGACCAAGGCGATTCATTTGGAACTGGCTCAGAATTTCGGAGATCTTCGAACCTGTGAGGATCCAGTCTGAACTGTCAAGTAAGGGCATTGAATTGATTTTTAATTGCCCAGCGAACCCTTCAGAGGGCGGAGTCTGGAAGCGAATTGTGCAGTGCCTAAAGGGGGTGCTTCGTCACACAGTGAAGGAGGTGGCGCCGAATGAACACATCTTAGAGAGTTTCCTAATAGAGGCGTAGAACATTGTTAATTCGCGTCCGCTCACCCATTTGCCAGTGAGTGCGGACCAGGAAGCCCCTCTTACGCCAAATGATCTGCTCAAGATAGCAGCTTGCCCGCCGGATACCCCCGGCCTGGATGGAGGCCTTGTTAAGGAAGAAGCTACGCGGAAGCAGTGGCGCATAGCAAGGATGTTGAGGAACCGGAAGAAGTGGGTCTTGGAGTACCTGCCCACGCTGATACGGAGAGAGAAGTGGTGCCGCAAAGAGAAGCCGATTCGTCGAGGAGACATCGTCTTCGTTTGCGATCCAGCCGTGCCGCGTCGAGACTGGCGGAAGGGCGTCGTGGAGGAGGCCTTTGGAATGGATGGTGAGGTCAGACGATCCCGCGTTAAAATCATGGATGGAGATCCGATCCAGCGGGATAATGCGCCCCGGTTCAAAGTTGGCGGCTTTAGATTTGAGTAAAGGGGTTCTTCACGGAGGTGGGGTTGCTTAGTTGCTCAACAGCATTTTTAAATCAATACACATTATTAGTCCACCATTAGATGTAAAAACAGCATTCTAAGCAGAACCTTTATATACCTTTATATATGAATGTCCCAACAGGTTATCCTATTATATGCTGACGATGTGGTAATTGCTACCAGTGATACCGAATGAATGTCGGAAATTAAAACTTATCTTTTAAATAGGTTTCAAATGTCTGATTTACATTCATTGATATAAAAATTGATATAAAAGATGATGAAATTTGTCTCAGTCATTCTGCATATATTAAAAATGTTTAAGAAAATTCAATATGAAAGATTGTAATTCAGTTAGTACACCACATCAATAAGTATTTTAAGCCGATATAATAACAGCAATAACAAAGAATTATGGCAATGTCTTAAAAGAGTTTTTTAAGATATTTGAAAGAAAAAGTCGATTTGAATATGTCATTTGAAACAAATTTTAAAGAAAATAATAAAATAAATAAATTATATGGTATGTTGATTCCCATTGGGACGAAAATAAGACTGGCAGAAGAAGTACCAAGGTTACATATTTAAGATGTTCAAAAATTGTTCAATTACAATGAAACAAAAATTTGTAGCTGCTCGTCTACCAAAAGAGAATATATGGCCTTATTTGAAGGTGTAAGAGAACCATTATGGGTAAAAAAGCAAAATTAGCAAATGAAATGAAATTAAATATAAATGATCCAATAAATATTTTCGAGGACAACCACGGTTGTATCAGCATAGCAAATAATCCTAAATGTCACAATAGAACTAACCATATAAATATTAAATATCATTTTACCAGGGAGCCAATTATAAATAAACTACATATGTTTATAACCAAACAAAATTAACCACTAGTCTAACCACCACTATGTTTGTATAAGCGAATTTGTTATTTTTTATACCCGTTACTCGTGGTGTAAAAGGGTATTCTAGGTTCGTTGAAAGGATGTAACAGGTAGAAGGAAGCGTTTCCAGCCCTATAAAGTATATATATTCCTGATCAGAATCAATAGCCATGTCCGTCTGTCCGTCCGTCCGTATGAACGAAAATCTCATGAACTATGAGAGATTCAGAGAGAGACAAAGCAGACAGATTTTTTTTATTCTTTTTATGTCTATGTTTTTTTACTTGTTAATTAAGCTTTCGATTGAATATAAAGTGTTATTTTTTGTGTAAAATTTTTGGAAAAACTAAATAGCTAATTAATTCCTCTTAGAGTTGGGAAACTATCTATGCCACTATCGAGGTATCGAGTTCTTACCTTTCCTATCTCTTTGAAAAATATAAATTCTAGAGTAACTTAACGTGGAGTTTATTGGTGCCATGGATACATTTACTGAATCTCAAAGAAGTATATAAAAAATGTATTTATTGCTTTGATTCAGGCATACATAGAAAGAAATACATGGATAGAGTAATATTTTTGTTAATAACTCAGTCAAAGCATTTGACTTGAATTATATTGGCTTTATTAAGAACTAATATTTTACTTACTAATATTTTGTATTTTATAAAGATATGTTTTAATAATTTGACCTGAAACTCTAAATGTATAATTTAATTTATAATTTTAATTTAATTTATATATTTAAGGTATACATTTGAAATTAATTGTTATTTAATGATCGGCACAAAAATCGATATAATCGATAGCTTCGAAGTTTCGCAGCCGGTTAGAAGATACCCAAATACGGAGTTACACAAATAACAGCCAAGACCAACTGGAACCACGGCGGCGGAAGTCTAATGATCTGGGGGTGCATATTCACACAAGGAGTTTAAAATGTTAAATATAAATTTTAATCAGTCGGCGGAGAGAATGGCCATTGGGGGCACTAGACCGCCGTGTATATAAGACACCGATATCGTCAATATCGGAGTTAAAAATGGTCTCAAGGCGAGTGGGGAGGAATTTGCACCAATTACCCAAAAAAATTATCAAAAAACAAACAGAAACACTTAAGCAATATCGTAAAAAATAATCATACCAAATATTAGGGCAAGTTTGTTTTCTTGATAAAGTTGTTATTTCTTAGTTGCCTACGAAAAACCGAATATTGAAGTAACGTAAATTTCGCGTTTTTTTTTCGTTTTTATATGATATCTCTTTTAATTTTAATTTAAGTCCTTATCTACACAGTCAGCACATAATTTATTCGTACACCCATAAGTTGCAAGCTTATTTCTTAATATCTAAGAAAATATGTAACAGAATTTAAAATTTAATTTCTCAAATGAATTATATCCATTTCGAGCATATGTTTGAAACATAAAATTAACAGGTTTTAACTTAAGTACTAGGTAAAATCCTTAATAGCAAAAATAGTTTTTTAGTTTGGCTTGTCCCGTCAGCGTCAATTCATTTCTAATTAGCTATTAATGCAGTTTCTACGGATTCCTTCGAGGACATGTTGTCCTTATCTGTAGCTTATGTCCTTTTCTATACATGTTCTATGGAACTGAAATCTTTTTTTAATTTAAAAAATAATTTTGGCTACAAAATGATCTCCATCGATAGGTTCCGAGCTGTAATCATAATCATTCGTATTATGTTAAAAACGCCTCAGAGAACAAACGCAAATAACCAAAACGCTTCATTTTCCATAGTTTCATAGATTCGTGATATTCGTGCATATTTTTTACATGTTTGTTCAGTAAAAGTGGACGCATTATATGGAGTAGTGTGATCGGAACTTTACAGCTCTCCTATTACCAACTGTTTCGAAAGAAAGACCTTTGTGAGTATTTTTCACTGTTTCATTTATTATTCCAAAATATTTATTGTGCAACATTTGACAAAATATTTGTTATTCTACGCTTAGCATTCCCTTATAAAAATTATTATTATTAAATGGCGGACGACCTCCAAAACTACAAATTGCAATTGCAACAGGTGTTTATAATCTTTAAATATATATTTAAGTACACACACATAACTGCTACAATATATAAAAAAAACTTAAAAGATTCTTAAAAAACAAAACGTACATACAGTGGCTCGCTTCTTATTTCGTGCAGTTGAATAAAAAAGTTATAGTCGTTATTCCTGCTAAACAAAAAAGATAACAGAAAAATTTAAGCGCAGTATTTTAATAGGGAATATTCAGGGCCGTAGCTAGCATGGGGCAGGTGGGGCGGTGCCCACTTTTTCGGCACTGAAAAAGCCTTACCTGAGCAAAGATTTCAGGGGACCATGAAATTACCTGAAATGGAACAATATTCTCCCAAAATAAAACAGTTCTACATTTTTTTTGTAATTTTATTAGATGATGTGCAAAATAACATATTGTCGTTTCATTTCAACAATTCTTAGTATCTAAATCAATGAATAGTATTAAAAACGTCGTTTTCGCGATTTGCATGCATTCGCGCGGATCGAGGTATCGAAGTTCGATAATCGAACAGTGCTCGCGTCCTCTATATGAGGGGCCCCAAATTTACTTGTTGCCCCAATTTTTTTTCCGAATACTAGTAAAAATATATTAACATATTTATAAGTTTTCGAGGCTGCGGGCACCCAAAAATTACTGATTAACGAGGATTTTCAAACTATGGCGCCACGAATAATAGTCAATAGTTATTGAGCAAAGCGAATTAGTCCTTAAACATTTTAAGGATGGGAAAACCCAAGAAATGGTTGCCTCAAGCCCTAGTACAAACCCATACATAACCCAAACTCTTTTTTGCGAAAATCGGGTGGCAGATAAGGGCCGTGATGCTCCAAACACAATTTTTAATGACCACGAGGAGAGACGTATTGTCCCAAAAGTGAAGGAAAATTCTAAATAGTTGCGGATTTTTTTACGCACAAAAATCACCTTTCATTCTTGACTTCCATTTCTGAATCCAACGGTAATCCGCGATTCTTTGTATACCCGTTACTCGTAGAGTAAAAGGGTATACTAGATTCGTTAAAAAGTATGTAACAGATAGAAGGAAGCTTTTGCGACCCTATAAAGTATATATATTCTTGATCAGGATCAATAGCGAAGTCGATTGAGCCATGTCCGTCTGTCCGTCCGTCCGTCCGTCCGTATGAACGCTGAGATCTCAGGAACTATAGCAGATACAAAGTTGATATTAAGCATGAAGATTCTAGAGGTCCCGGGACAGCGCAAGTTTATTACAGCATCCTGCTACGCCCACTCTAACGCCCACAAATCGCAAAAACTAAAATTGCTGAAATCTCAGGAACTATTGCAGATAGAAAGTATTCAGAAAGTATAATCTTTAGATGGCAGCGCATCTTATAGTGGTACTACTATCCGGCCACACCCACCCCCACCCATACGCCAACAAGGCTCAAAAGACAAATGTTTTCGGGTAATCTAGAAAAGCTGATATCTCGGTAACTATAAGAGATAGAAAGTTCGGATTAAGCATGTATGTTTCTATGATGCTCCCAATGCGAATTGTTTTTTCCGATCACGCCAAGCCCACTCTAACGCCCACAAAACCCGAAAAACCAAAAATGCAAAAATCTCGAAAACTACAAAAGCTACACAATTTTGCTTAGGAACACGTATTAAGGAGATTCCTCTGCAACTTGCCACGAAGTTGCATCCGGCCACGCCCACTCTAACGCCCACAAACCGCGGATAACTGTGGAGTCTATAATATTATTATGAATGCCATCGTTTGACCTTGTGTAACTTATTTCTGTTAATATTTATCGATTTACCAAAGATTTTTCAAATCGGAACATTCGCTATTTATAAAGAAATTAAGTTATAAGGCCTCACATGGGCAGTGACGTCACTGTAAGCATACTCAACATACTTTCTCTGACAATAGGTGGCGCATTGTGAATTTCCACTAGCAAAATAATATTTTAAAATTTTGTAAAACAGTAACGGGTATCTTATAGTCGCGGCACTCGACTATAGGGTTTCCTCTTGTTTGAACTGTTCTTCGGAGCAAGCTTCCGTGTACTATTCTCAAAGTTGTTTAGTTACATAGTTTCGCTGCTTTTTTTTTTGCTGTAATTGGACGAAATGGGTCGGAGTCAAGATTTATCCCTAATTGATTTCTGATTATAACAAACATATTAAACATATTAATATATTTTAAACATAAAATTAAAAAGTTTTAACTTAAATACTAGAAAATTTCCTTAATAACACAAAAAGTCATTTTTTTACGCATAAAAATTATTTGTACATTTCTTTGAAAATTTGTACATTTATTTGTCGTAAACATCGACACATGCTTTTTATAAAGTTTCTCGTCTCGTCAGCATCGATTGAATCCCATTCAGGTATTAATGCGGATTTAAAGGATTCCTTCGAGGATATGTTGTCCTTTTCTGGATGATATCCCATAAATGTTCTATGGGGTTCAAATCTGGTGATTGTAGAGTCGGTTTTTGTTCCTTGCAGTGATATAATACATACAGTGGATCGCAGCTTATTTCGTGGAGTTACCAAATATAAAATTTTAGTCGTTATTCCTGCTAAACTAAAAAGATATCAAAGAAAAAGGAAAAGCTATAGTCGAGTGCCGCGACTATAAGAAACCCGTTTCTGTTTTACACAATTTTAAAATATTCATTTTGCTAGTGGAAATTCCCAAAGCATCACCTATTGTCGGAGAAAGCATATTGAGTAACTGATAGTGACGTCACTGCCCATATGAGGCCTTATAACGTAAATTTCTTCATATATAGCGAAATAATGTTCCGACTTGAAAGTTCTTTGTTAAATCGATATATATTGACAAAAATAAGTTATGCAAGGTCAAACGGAGATATAGACTATTATATTATGGACGCCAGTTTTCCGCGGTTTGTAGGCGTGGCCGGATGAAAACTAGGGGTAAATTGCAGTCGCATCTTTTAAATACGTATTCTTTATTGAGCTTGGTGGGAGCATGAGTGGAAGTGGCCGGATAATAGTACCACTACTACTACTAAGTTCTAAGATGCACTTGCATCCAAAGATTATACATACTGAATTTCAACTTTCTAGTTCTAATAGTTCCCGATATTTTAGCGGTTTTAGTTGGCAGTTTGGAAAGATGCGGAAATAAACTTGCGCTGCGTATGGACCTCAATCTTCATGCTTAATCTCAGCTTCTTATCTCTTATAGTTCCTGAGATCCCAGCGTTCATACGGACGGACAGACGGACATGGTTCAATCGACTTCGCTATTGATCCTGATCAAGAATATATATACTTTATAGGGTCGGAATCGCTTTCTTCTATCTGTTACATACTTTTCAACGAATTTAGTATACCCTTTTACTCGACGAGTAACGGGTATAAAAATTTAAACGCAGTTGGTTAACAGGAAATATTAACATGCTTATTAAACTAAAACTATTTTCATAATCATTAAAACAACAAATCCAGCCTTTTTCATGCCGCAGCTTATTTTGTTCAGCTGATTCTACTTAACTTATTATTTGTAATTTAACAGCTAATATTTTGTATGTCACATTGGAAGAAACTAACTTTTTAGTGGATTCCACTGGAATTTTAAGTTACTAATTTCGGTTGTTAGTACTCACATGGAGCTTAGTCTCATAACAAAATATTTAATGTTCTGATTTTTAAGGTGGAAGCAGCTCTTCAAACCGATCCAAAAAATTACGAGCTCTTGAAACTCAGAAGTGATCTTGGTGAAGTTATATGCCTTACTCGCGATCTGATACAAACTCAACTAGAGGAACAGAATAAGTCCTCATATGTGGAACCGTCATCAACTAAAACAGCGTCCTCTAACTATTTTGACGAAATTGAAGCTGCTCTTTTAGAAGCAGAAAAACTAGTGTCGGCTGCTAGGACTTGGAAGATTGGAGACAAGTGTCAAGCTAAATGGAAGGAGGATCGTCAGTACTACGACGCAACTATTGAAGGTATATCAAGCAACGGAGACGCCAATGTAATATTTGATGCCTATCAAAATCGTTCAACCATTCACGTCAACGAGTTACGAGAACGAAATAATCGCAACGAAGTTTTTCCCTCAAACAAGTATTTAATTTATAACACAGAAAAGTTGGTTTTTAACACATTTTTTACAGGCGTCATAGACCCAATCAAAAGGAATATTTAAAAAAACGCAAACAAAAAAAGCAACAGCGTTTCAAGGATTTGGAAGAAGAGCGCGAATCGGACAAAAATAAGTGGCTTCACTTTACGAATAAGAATCAAAAAAAAGGAATGAATGCAAAAAGTATATTTGCCTCTCCAGATAATGTAAGTGGCAGAGTAGGGGTCGGTACATGTGGAACTGCAGGAAAAGGCATGACTGACTTTACAATAGGCGAAAAATACAGAAAGGGTCTTTAATGTACTAAATTCACTAATTGAGTGCATGTTAAAATAAAACTGAAAATTAAAAATGTAATTTAAAAACCATAAAAATATGGAACTAGCACAACAAAATGTATTTTATTTTACTTAAAATTAAATTTTCTGGTTACTAAATCCAAATTGACAGCCGATAAATTACAAATTCCAGGCTTAAAAACCAGAGTCCATTGGATTACGAATCACGCATTGTTCTTTTCTTTTTGTTATTGCATAAAGAGTCGTGATTGTTCTATGCTTCAGCTGTTTCAGTTTCTTGAATCTTAAAGAAGGGAGTCCCATGCGGAAGGAGTGTTGCTATACTAAGCTAATGCACTCCACAAACAATATAGTCTTTACCGTCATACTGTTACCGCGTATAAGGTATATTTATTGTAGAAATCGGGTATTAAAATAAAAAGCTACAACAAACGCTATTCAATGGTAATGCTAAGTGCGGCCCTATGGGACATTTTGAATTAGCTTGATTTGGAAAGAGATCTTCATCGGAGCATCGCAGCTAAACCGCACAAACTCAATATAAATCATAAATGGAAAATAATAATTGTCGGTAGGTTTTCGCTCTCGATAGGCTAGTCTAGCTTTTAATGGCATCTAGTGTTTTTATATCCGGCACTCGTAGAGTAAAGGGGGATATTGTATTCCTAACAGGTAGAAGGAAGAGCTTCCGGCTCTATAAAGTGTACATATATATTCTTGGTCAGGATCAATAGCCGAACCGACTTGGCCTTGCCTGTCCGTCTCTTCGACTATTCGAAGAACTGCGAACTTTACTTCGTATGAATTGCGATTTCAGAGATATAAGCATCCAGATTCTTAGGCAGCGATTTCCCACTTTAACGTCAACAAAACACGAAAGACTAAAATCGTTGAAATCTCGGGAACTGTAAGAGCTAGAAAGTTGGGATTAGAAATGTATAATCTTGAAATGCCAGCTCATCTGAAAAGAGTACCGTTATCCGGCCACTTACCAAGCTCGAAAAATGGCTTACGATTTTTATAAGAACGTTAAGATCTCTGAAACTATACGTGATAAAAAGTAGGGGCTAATGCAATCTTCTGAGACTTTGCATCCTTGGCCATGCTTACTCTAATGCCCATAAAACGCGAAAAACCAAAAACGCCAAAATCTCGGATTTTTATACAGCCACGCCCAGTCTAACGCTACAAGGTTAATTATATTAAAATTGGTTTATTTTTACATTGTATAACATTTTTAGTCAATATCTATCGATTTAGCAAAAAATTTGGTTACATACAAGCCAGAACGAAAGGTGGATGACAAACCTAAATTTAAATATCATTATAATGAGGAAAGTATCATCATTTAAGATACGCGTCCCCTCGGTGGAATTTGACAAAATGTGCTCAACCAAGTTCTGACCGGATCACATTTTCGTCCAAGAACATCGACCGGGACATAAAAAAAGAAAATTAATCGACCTGTGGCGGTAAAACTCCCTTAAGCAAAAGCCACTGAGCAACACCCGGCAAAAAATTAACATCTTCTCTTCTTTCCTATCAGAACACAAGGGGGTTGCGTACTAAGCTACCTACTTTGTTTTCTAAGAGTCTTTCGTTTGTATCCCAAATAATTGTTTTTACCGAAACATATCTAGTTTCGGAAATTCTTAGCTCTGAAATTTTTCTGAGTAGGTATGTAACATACAGGCACTCGGATCCGGGAGTGGAGTGTTAATTTCTGTAGACTCAAAACTCGTATACGAGGAGATAAATCTTCAATTCGGTGATATCGAATTCATTTGTATTAAACATTCGCTTCCTGGTAGGTTTTTATTTATTACGTGTTTTACATCCCTCCCAAGTCCGACCCACATAGTGGCCATGCAGTCCGTTTTTACGCTATTATCAGTTATGGATCAGCTAGTAGTTTTGGATCATTTTAACATACCAGAAATTAACTGGTCAACAAACGAAAATAGTTTAGCTTTATTTATTGCAGGTATGTTAGACATGACCCTGGAACAAATTAACCATGTTAAAAACTCTTAAGGTCGGTTACTCGATCTATGCTTCATCTCAGATTCGGACTCCGTATCCATATCTAGGGTTCCACCACTTACACGACTTGTAGATCTTTATCACCCCACACTGGATCTGGCGATCAATGCTGGACATCCCCAAGTATCTGAGCCTACTGGGGCTGTCAAAAAGGTTCGCTGTTTCAGCATGTCAGACTTTCTTAAACTTAATATTCTCATCTCTGAATTTGACTGGTCCGATCTCTACGCATTTAATGATATGATAATTGTTTTTACCGAAACATGGCTGGTTTCGGAAATTCTTAGCTCTGAAATTTTTCCGAGTAGGTATGTAATATACAGGCTTGATCGATCACTCGGATCTGGGGGTGGAGTGTTAATTTCTGTCGACTCTAAACTTGTATCCGAGGAGATTAACCTTCAATTCGGCGATATCGAATTCATTTGTGTTAAACTTGCGCTTCCTGGTAGGTATTTATTTATTACATGTTCTTACATCCCTCCCAAGTCCGACCCATCCACGTATGAGTTGCACCTAGCGGCCATACAGTCCGTTTTTACGTTATTATCAGATGTAGATCAGTTAGTGGTTCTGGGTGATTTTAACATACCACAAATTAACTGGTCAAAAAATGAAAATAGTTTAGCTTTAACACCTTCCTCACATAATGATTTTATTGCAGGTATGTTAGACATGACCCTGGAACAAATTAACCATGTTAAAAACTCTTTAGGTCGGTTACTCGATCTATGCTTTATCTCAGATTCGGACTCCGTATATATATCTAGGGTTCCACCACTTACACGCCCTGAGGATCTTTATCATCCCACTCTGGAGCTGGCGATCGATGTTGGACCACTCCAAACGACTGAGCCTACTAGGGCTGTCAAAAAGGTTCGATGTTTTAGCATGTCAGACTTTCTTAAACTTAATATTCTCATCTCTGATTTTGAGTGGTCCGATCTCTACGCATGCAAAATGACTTCAGCTTTAAACATATTTTACCATGCATTAAACCTATAATATTTTTTGATATATGTGTTCCGATAAGGTACCCGCCCAGAACGGATAACCCCCCTTGGTATGTCAAGGGCTTAAGCACCTAAAAAATATAAAGTTCAGGCTTCAGAAAAAATATCATATCAATATCGTTCCTTTACACAAGAAAGGGAAACTTCGGATGCTGGTAATTATAGAGGTATCTCTAAATTATCAGCAATTCCAAAACTCGTTGAGAAAATTATTCTATTCTATTTGCAATACCAGTGTAGATCAGTAATATCTCCATATCAGCATGGTTTTTGAAACGACGGTCTACAACAACAAACTAACTCGAATTAACATCTTATGTCATCATTGGATTCCGAAAAATTTTGGTGCTCTCCAAATTTACTAAATCTTAACGGCTCTAAAGACCTTCAGTCGCTCTAAGACCTTAATAACCTCTTATACACTTTGTAGTGTAACCCTTGATAGAATTAAGCTAGTCGACGACTTAGGTGTCCTATTGGATACAAAATTTACATTTTCCGACCACATTTTTTCCATGGTTAACAAAGCCAGAGGTGTGCTAGGTTTTATAAAAAGATGGTCGAAAGAATTCAACGACCCTTACGTAACTAAAACTTTATTTTTATCTCTCGTTATCTTAGAGTATGGATCTTGTGTCTGGAACCCCCAGTACGCGGTCCACCAAGACCGTATAGAATCTGTCCAAAAAACTTTCGCAAACTTTTATCTTCCCTCTTATAAAAGTAGACTATTACTAATAAACCTTCCCTTGCTAACCGTGGGACAATGCTTGGGGTTGTCTTTATTAACAATTTTATTAGCGAAGACATTGATACCCAAGCCCTAAAAGGTCGCTTAAACATCAATGTGCCCACTAGAAACTATGTTCCCTTATCCTTGGGACATTGCATCTCGAACTTTGCCCTTCATGAACCATTAAGGGTATTATGTTCGACTTACAATGCACTCTATCACATTACATCCAATACTTCTCTTACTAACTTAAAAATTGCTTTATTAAACCACTTAGCACAAACTTTGATTCGTAGTTTGTAACATTTTCACTCGGTACTATCCCCGTGTTCCGAGCCGTACGATATACGGCAGCGCCCCTCGGTCGGTTAACACATAAATATTTTTTTTCTCGACCACGCATCACTTTAATAATTTCCATTTTTATAAATATATATTATACGTTACATCAGGCAAAAAAAAATCAAAATGGGAGCTCTCAAGAAGCCGAAGCAAAAGAAAACACTGCCAACGTAGTAAGCAATGTAATCGTAGACCACCCACCCCTTTTGAACTCAATGTTTATACTCATGAATATATTTATCGTGTGTACTATTATTAACGTAATTTTCAAATTGCACAGCAAATACATAAAGTGCTTTAAAAGAGATAGTTGTTACCGCGATTACATGAACCGAGCACAGGGCCTAAACGGTATTTAAAAAAAATACATTTCTATAAAAATAACAAATATTAATACTTAAATATATATATTTTACCAATTCAACCTTCTGACATAGTGTTTTTTGCATATAATAAAACACAGCGCAGTGACAAGAAAATGTCAAGAATCCAAGCTAAAATAGATTCAGTAATTTCGGCCGAAGTAGACTTTTATGGCAGTTAGTCTTACCATCAGGCCTAATGACTAGCAGATGGAATAAGTTTGGAAGGTTCTTTAATGAAAAAATAATAACATTAAAAAGTTATAAGTGTATCAACAGAAACACACACATTAGAGAAGGGACAGTACTAAAACATCTGTCTGACATAATTTTAAACACAAACAAAATTAGAAGGGCAATAGTCATACCTTCGGATATGTTAACTCCTACACATTTTAACCTAGCAGTAAAATTACATGATCATTGTATTGCCAAAAGCCTCACAAAAGTATGATATATCATTTAAAATACCAAAAGACTTTCATTCGCAAATTGAGGTCGATTTAGCATTCCCTCAAACTTCAGACTACGACAAATCGTTGGCTTACATTTTTTAGAAGAAGATAACTAAGATTTTTATTGCGTTCGAAGTTCCCTT